TCTCTCTCTCTCTCTCTCTCTCTCTCTCTCTCTCTCTCTCTCTCTCTCTCTCTCTCGTCAAGGGGTAGTATCTGCCCAGAGGTGCACTGCAGCACTCAAAGATCTCAACAGGAGGAGATTATTCTGTCCAATGTTTCTGTGGATCATAGTCCAATCCTTGTCCTCCTTGACAAAGGTGGACTGTGATCCCTAATCCATCAAAACATTGGAACACCTTGACAAAGATGGACTGTGATTCATAAAAACGTTGGACTGGCATTTGACAAGGTGGTCCAATGTTTTGATGGATGGCTGTCTGTTTTTGTCACGGTAATCCAATTTTTCCATGGATCACAGTCTGTTTTTGTCAAGGTGGTCCAATGTTTCCATGCATTGCAGTCCATCTTTGTCAAGGTGGTCCAATGTTTCCATGCATTGCAGTACATCTTTGTGAAGGTGGTCCAATGTTTCCATGCATCACAGCTCATCTTTGTCAAGGTGGGCCAATGTTTCCATGCATTGCAGTCCATCTTTGTGAAGGTGGTCCAATGTTTCCATGCATTGCAATCCATCTTTGTGAAGGTGGTCCAATGTTTCCATGCATCACAGTCCATCTTTGTCAAGGTGCTCCAATGTTTCCATGCATTGCAGTCCATCTTTGTCAAGGCGGTCCAATGTTTCCATGCATTGCAGTCCATCTTTGTCAAGGTGGTCCAATGTTTCCATGTATTGCAGTACATCTTTGTGAAGGTGGTCCAATGTTTCCATGCATCACAGCTCATCTTTGTCAAGGTGGTCCAATGTTTCCATGTATTGCAGTCCAGCTTTCTCAAGGTGGTCCAATGTTTCCATGCATCACAGCTCATCTTTGTCAAGGTGTTCCAATGTTTCCATGTATTGCAGTCCATCTTTGTCAAGGTGTTCCAATGTTTCCATGCATTGCAGTCCATCTTTGTCAAGGTGTTCCAATGTTTCCATGCATTGCAGTCCATCTTTGTCAAGGTGGTCCAATGTTTCCATGCATTGCAGTCCATCTTTGTCATGGTGGACAAAGATTGACTGTAATTCATAGAATCTTTGGACAGCATAAACTCCTTCTGTTTGGACATACACTTCTGCTCAATACCCTTAAGTACCTCTACTACTTTCTATGTGTCTGTATGTGTGTGTGTGTGTGTGTGTGTGTGTGTGTGTGTGTATATATACATATAT